AGAGCGGTGAAATGTTAGCTCTGAATAAAAAAAACAACCCTTTCCTTCTCTAGGCAAATTGCTGACTTTCCTGTTCAGGAGGAGAGATTGAGTCCAGGAGAGGTTTGCAAAGTTGGTCAGCTGATGTGAAACTCACATCTTTTTTGATTTCAACACGAGTCTTTGTGGTTTATGTAGCGCGGGGAACACTTGGCGGTGCACTCGGGGTGCACAACACAACCTCAGAAGTTAGAAGATTTAATAATTGCGTGATTCTTTGTGGGCTTTTCTGTAACATTTCAGTTTTTCCCAAGTGTCAGTGATGCCGCCTGGTAACAGATGTCATCACCTCCCTTTCGTGTACAGGGGGAGAGGCAGAGGGATGAAAGCCATCAGCACTCGATGACTTGAAGGGCCAAACCTGAAGTGCCTGAAACTGATTTTTCCAGAAGGCTTCCTATTTTATACTCTTTATACTCCCCCTCTCAGGGGAGGTTTTTGTGGCTTTGATTTGCAAGTTATGAAAGTTTAAAACTTCTGCAAGTCAGAGTCCGCTGTCTCTGGCTGGCGATCCACAAGAAGAGGAACCCAAGCCTTGTGGGCACCTGTGAAAACAGCCATTTGAGTAACTTTCCATTGTCCCGTGAGAATAGAAACCAAAGGTGACTTGAGGCCTTTTTTACTATGAGATCATGGTTTCCATCCTCCATATGATAAGATCATGTTTTCCATCCCCTATATGATGAGTTCGTGTTTTTAGTCCTTCCCCATTCACTGCATCCCTTGCAGCATCGGAGTTCAAAGTGAGTGTCCTGTGACCTACAGGGGCAGGAACAGGGGACGGAAATCAGAGAGGTTACTCAATGAAGCGTGGGCTTTGGCAACAAATCTGGCTGGAGAATTTTTCCTGCTTTTGCCTCTTGGCCACTCGTTCCCCTTTCTGACCTCTCATTCTTCACTGTCGCTCCCTTTGCGGTAGCGTAACTGTTTGCGCCACCTCGCAGAGCTATTTTTAACCCGTTTCATTTCCTCGAGTTGGCATGTGCCAGCATCCCCCAGGCAGTGGCATCAGTGCTGGGAAGGGGTAGCCGGCCACCGTGCAGCTTCCTTACAGCCCATGCGGGAATCCCCGTGCAGAAGGAAATCCCTTCGTGGAACACAGGGGTTGGAGAGAAGCACCAGCTTGGGCCATGCCAAGCTCCTCACTGCTGGCTTTCCAAGCTGGATGTCCCCGTGTTGCCATCTCTTGTGAAGGCGGAAACCCTTACTGAGTTTCACGTGCTTAAGAGTAAAACTCAAAACCAAAATTCTTGTTGGGTATTGGACTTCCCACCAACACCTGGATGAGTCTGACTCCTCTCCCACCTTGACAGGGCTGGTATCTGGTCTGATGTTGTTGAAGCATGTGGTCCATATGTCCTGGACATCTGGAGAACTCATGTCTCTCTGTCTCATTTTTCACCAGCTTATAAGTGTGTAAATATGGGCAGACCTTTGAAAGCTGGAGAGTGTATCCTGTCACTTGATCCATTGCTAGTCTCGTCCAAAACTAGAAAGCTGAAGAGTTTATCATTTAAAAGGCTGATAATGTATTTTTCCTCATGGTAAAATGTCTGTTGTCACAGTCTTGTGATTAACTGAAACTTGTAACAAAGGTGGTATTCAGCCTGGCAGATGCCAAGCTTGGGTGTTGTAGCACAGGTGGTTATGGAAACGTGTAAACCCAGTGACTTTGGGGTCTCCTGACGAACGGTACTGGAAACCACAAGTAGAGGAGAGCCTCTCAGGGCTGCTTCCAACTCTGCTGAAGGGAATGAGCTGGAAAAAAGTGGAAACTGTGAAGTCAATGTAGCTCCAGTTTCATAGGTTCTACTGGCCTAGGTCTGCCCTGCACCAGTATGCCCTCAGGACAGGAGGTGGGACGTGGCTGTGGGGAACTGGCTACAGACCGGCAGGATCGCATCGTGGCTCATCCTCTCCTCTCCCTGTTCCCAGCTATATTCTACTATGCTGGTCACGGCTATGAACATTTGGGGAGGAACTACATGGTCCCCGTTGACGCTCCACAACCCTACTCCCCTGAGAACTGCATCAGCGTGCAGAGGATCCTCCAGAAGATGCAGCAGCAGCGGACGGCCCTGAACCTCATCCTGCTGGACACCTGCAGGAAATGGTAGGGTGCTCTTCCCACTTCCATGCCTGGGATGGGCAGAGTGTAGCGTTTTGAGGGGTTGGGGGAAACAGCTGCCAGCCTCAGCCCCGGCTTCTGCACAACCACGTGGGGTGTTCCCGTGGATTACTGGGGCCACGTCCCGCTGTTGTGCTGCTGAGCCAAGGCCTCTGTCAAAGTTTATCGGGCTGTGTCATAGAATCAGCAAGACTGCCAGGTCTTGCAGGATCTTCTGGGAAGCCCAGTCGGTCACGTATTAGGTGCAGAGAGCATCAGACACTGCCTGAGATCTGCTGGAGAAAAGGGCCTGGAGACCCTCCCTTGATTTTTCGGGATGAAGAAGCCTGGCAATTACAGGCAGGTCACCTAAAGCCAGCAAGAGGGCTGACTCTGCCCTAGCATAAACTGTTGGCTGAAGCTCAGCATAGGGTTTGTCTTTCTGTGTTTCAACCCCCTGCCCTGAACCATCCGGCCCTGGCAGGCTGCAGCAGCATCTCGCTGACCTCAGGCTTTCACGGTACGTGTTTCTCCACGTGCTTAGACTGGGACTGTTGAGCTCACCTCTCTTCTCCTGGCTGTGTTTTTATTAACATTTCAGTGAGAAGAGTGCAACATGATGGGGAAAATATTCTAAGCCGTGCTACTAGGTTTTTACCGGCCTTAAATGCTTCTGAAGTGGTCGTGTCGTGAAGTGGGACCCAGGCTGCTGCTGAGGTCAGGGATCAGCTTTTTCCCCTCTCTCTGTGAAAAGCCCATCATCCTCCCGTGGCCTGCTGACCTCCATCCTGCAGCTTGTGGGCTGCAGAAAATTACTACTTGCCCATTTTCAGCAGAGGTAGATAGCCTGTTCCAGTAGAAACTGTCATTAGTTCATTCGTTTTGGTCTCCTGAGGCAGATTTACACGTCAGAAAAGACCTGGAGGGCAAATGCAGAAAAGTCTCCCTCTTCCTTCTGTCGCTCCTGCACTAAGAACCAGAAAGATGACAGGGATTTTGATACCGCTGCCCTGAAGGAGCTGCCAGCCCCTGGAAAGATGTTAAATCTTTGATACCTTTTAGCTGCAGAGGTAGGAACGCTCACTTTGAATAGCTTACAAGCTGGCTGCTTTGGGACTTGTCCTGCTGCTGCAGCTCCGAGTTGCCAGCATTGCTGGAGCTTGCTGTCCCTTGATACCCGCTCTGAATGCCCCGTAGCGAAGCATCCCCTTCCTCCCTCTTCCTCACTGCTGCTGCTGAGAGCAGAGTGAGTTGCTTCCCTGCACTGCTGCATAACCCCCCCAGAACACGTGCAGCACCTTGCTGCTCTCCCCAGCACAATACCAGGCAGGGGACAGCTTGCAGCCGAGCGGGAGCACGTGGTTTTTGCAGATGCACAGGTTGAAGTGGACTAGCATGCTTCTGGGCTGCTGGTAGCCCATCCGAGGGCAATGTGGGGACATGGAGGCTGCATGGGGATTGCTAACACAAATGGCGATGATCTATGAAATAGCTTTTGAGCTGATGTCTCATTTGGCATCGCCAGCGGTTTCGTCCTTAGCGGAGTCTTAATGGTGCTTTGGGAAAAGGATGCGATGTGAGATCTACTGTGACGTTGTGTGGCTCTTTTTCTCTCTCCCGCCCCAAGATGTCACACTTCTTTCCTCCTCTTCCCACAGCAAACACAGCACTTAGTGCAGTAGGTCTTATCCTCAGGCTTGCGGGGGTTTGCTGTAGAAGCTCTCTCCTGAGCTCATTTTTCTTGAGAAGTCACCATTTCAGCTCAGCAACGAGTGGATTTCATAGTTGCATGTGTTTACACGGCTCCTTAAAACAGGGCTCCTTTCCCAACGCCCTTTTGGTTGGACTGATGCTGAGAGCCTGTCGATGGTTCACTCAGCCGTGAATGAACCAGGAGGAGCTGTGTCTGTGCTAAGAGGGATCTCACCCGGAGTATCTCTCCACCCCGTATGTCAGCATCAGAAATGCCAAGGCGATGAGAAACGCGTCCTCCTTTGCCAAGTGGTAGCAGATGTTCAGCTTCAGCAGAGGAGGAACCAGGAACATGGGGCCTGTGTGTAGCCTCGTACATTTATGTGCTGATTTCAGGTGGATCCAATTGCCTCTTCCAGGAATACCCTGATTTATGATGGTTTCTAGCATGTGCCGCTTAGGACAGAAGGACACCATCTCCTGTCTGGGATGCAGATCAGAACTGGGTTGCATGAGATGTGCTGTATAAATGAGACTTCTGGGTGACCTGAAGCAGGAGGCAGCACTGCCACCTTCTCTGCTGTCAGGTCTCTCCCCATGTTTGGTCACCATCTGGAAATGCCCCTGGAAATCCAAGCCCCTGCAGAAGCTTGCCTTCTGCTGGGGTAGGGTACCATCACCAGCGTTTCCACTGTGTAGACCTCCAGCCTTGCTGGAGCTGTGGATGCCTGCTGGTGCCATCATGAAAGGTTTGCATCAACTCATGTCTGCACAGCCTCAGGTGGATGTCCCCAGCAGGCAGACAACAGGACCTCCGTTTATTTTGGGATCACATGTCTCATTTCTCCTCGGACCTGGAATACCAGATTTCGGCATTCATTTAGGAGTAGCTGAGGGGCAGATAAATCTCTCTGTTCACTGCTCATATTTAGAATCGTATCTCCTTTTCCACATTTTCTCTTCTGATCATCTTTAGAAAACTTACACAAGCCAGATGAATACTGCCATTAAACATCTCCAGACTGTGCCACCAGCAGTAGGTAACGTGCTGGCTGCTGGCGATACAACCGTCCCTTCTGCTCTCCTTAGCGTGCCAGCTTCAGCCCCAGGAAACTGCTGGAATCGAATAACACCGAATAACGCTGCCTCTGTGCCTGGCTCTTATCCCTGTGCGACTGGGAACTGCTCCATGTCACTGGTGTAAACTGGAGGCAGCCGGTCCCCACGCTGTTCAGTCTGGCTGCAGTCAAATGGGCAAGGCTTAGTCGTTAAGTGCAACCATGATATATTTTTTTGGTGGAAACCAGGACTGTCACCCCAGATCTACCTGATCTTGAAAATAACAGGATCTGTGCTCATTGAACTGTATCTAGACCAGGGGGCCAGCACCAGTTTTGAGCTTTGAGACCTGGGTGCGTATCCTGATCCCATCTCTTGGTGAGATCTGGAGGTGTATCCGCCATAGTATGCTTTGGTGTCCTGGGGCAGAAGGTGTGTGCAGCTGTGGGCAGCCCAGGCCTCTGGGACAGGTGGTTGAGCCGTAGCCATGCGATGTCTACACGTCTGAGTTCTTCAGGGACAGTCACCCCGTCGGGCCACAGTATGTGCTCTGCACTGTGCTGCTGCCGGGATTTGTGACAAACCAGCCTCAGGAGGGAGGAGGCAGGCTTGGACCCACTGCTACAGGTGGTGTAGGGCAGGGAGCAGCTCACCAGCGCAGATAGGTCAAAGCTGGCCCTATCTACTCGGTTTCCCATGGTTTGGGTTCTTTGTAGGACTCCTAGCTTTAGCCTCTGTTGCTGTCCAAGTAACATGGTGGGTTATATTTGACGTGAGGGTTGATCTTACTGCCATCCATAGGAGATGGACTTGGTGGAGCACACGGGCTCTGTCCCCTCCAGGCACATGCTGGTGGGTGTCCTGAACTCTGACTTGTGCCTTCGTCTCCTCTTCCAGGTACAACCCAGAGTGTGCCCTCTCCCAGGTACAGCCGCTGGAGCCCTGGGGCAATACCGTTTACGGCTACGCCACGTAAGTGCACTTTGCTGCGCCTGTACCGTGACACAGGACCAACTGCTGGCACAGCCATCTCTCCTCACATCTCTTCATGCGTGGTGGCTTTGGAGGTTTGAGAGAGCTTTGCTCATGTTTGCTCTGGCTCTCACCCTCCATCTCTAGGGTTTCCCATCCACATACTTTTGTTCTTCCTCCTGACATGGCTAGTGGTAGCCTGTGCATCAGTTAGAAGTTATGTGTGAAGGTGGCATCAGGTCCTGTAATCTGTCCTTCTATGCCTAGGCCTGATTCCCAAGGCACGCGTGCCACGAGCATGTCACCTGAAGCCTCCTGAGATGAGGATGAGTGTTGCTTACTGCTCCAGGGTCAGTTCTGCTGGCTTTTCAACTGCTGTCACCCACCTAGGCTGGCAAAAGAGGCTGTGCTCTCCTCTTCTGTCCCCCTCCACTGCTTTTTCCCGTCTCATGCCCTTCCCACCCTCTCCTGGGCCAAAACCAAGCACTTTGTGCCGTTGCCCGAGGAGGTAATTCAAACTCAGCCAACTCAGTCTAGATGGAGTCGACAAGCCCTGACTCACCCCCGGTGCTTCGTGCCCATTCCAGAAATGTGAGGACGAATCCTTACTCTTGCAGGAGCGAAGATGCGGAAGCCTATGAGTTGCAGGATGGGGAGTTCAGCTCTGGGATCTTCATGAAATATCTGAAGAAACATATTCTGCAGGAGAAGAAGGTTACACACATGCTGGACGATGTGTTAGAAGGTAAAGGAGTACTTTTAACCCAGGCTAGAAACTGCTTACTTCAGTAGCAGGGGTGAGAAGAGGTGTCAGCAGAAACTGAGTGGCTCTGCGCCACCCCAGTCCAAGCAGGGGTGAGAGTGATGATCAGCACCTCCAATCCCCCTCCCTAAAAACTAAATTGCAGGCCGTGACCTCTGTGAGCTTTTAATAACCTGGCAGTGGTACGGAGATGTAGATGTAGGGTCTGAAAGGCAGGATGATAAATGAGGAATCTGGAGTAACCTTTGTGCCTCCAAACACTCTCCCCTAGATATCGGCCGGGATCCCTTGGTCACTGGGAAGCAGGTGATGGAGATCAAACACACTCTGAAGGAAGCTCGGTCCCTGACGGACCCGATCTACCCCTTGGGGGCAGCTGCTGAGCGCTGGGGACGCAGCCACGGTGAGCTGTGCAGGGCGCAAGGAGGGCTACCAGGGAGAGGGCTGGGGGTCCCTGTGCCCCTCAGGGACACCGATCTGCAGGGGGGTGTTGGTGGGACCCTCTGAGGAGCCAAGGGCCACCAGGTGCTGACCCTACTGGGCTTTTCCTTCCAGAGCCGCTGAGCAAAACCGTGACCTTCCCCTGTGGGGCGCAGGTGAAACTCTGCTTCCACTGGCTCTTCTCCAATATGATGTATGTGTGCGCCAAGCTGCAGCCTCTCCCGGCCCACATCACTGACGCCCATCTCCTGCTCTGCCAGCCCACCGTGAGTCCTCCAGCAGAGATGCTGGGCCACTTCCCCTCAATTCCCACCGTCTCCTTTCCCTGGGGCAGAGTTGGGAGGGGGTGTATGGTGGGCCCGAAGGGTCCCAAGGGCTGGAAAAGACTGAACCCACATGGAAAAGGGTCCCCTTCTCTGCAAACTCTGATGCAAATAATCCTGACTGCGAACACCTCTTTGAGTGTTCCTTCCACGTATCGGTGCCTCGCAGACTGCCTGCCTTGCTCCTAACGCATCGCAAAATAGATCTGCTGCCAGTTTTGATGCCTTTAACCAGTTACTCCTCGGACCGATTTCTGTCCTGCCTGTTTAAGTCATTGCATTTCATCTGACTGAGATGAAGAGCCTCTGTTTTCTGGGTTTGGAAGCAGATCTGGCTTTTTGAATGATGCCTTCTTAGCCCACTGTGCTAATATATCTTAATACAACAATATATCCTCCTGTACTTGTTCCCGGTTGAGCCATACCAGCTTCTTTGCACCCTTTCTCCACCTTTCCTAACAGACCGTGTGCCCGGCGTGGTCTTTTCTGGTGGTCTCCATGCCACCTCTAAGGATTTAATTTGCTGCTCCTTTTCACTAACCATCTTCCTCATTTTCTGTAGTCCTTTTGCTGAAGCGTAGCGTGCCCGTGGTGGATTTTTCGGCCCTTGTTGCTCGTGGAGGGACGCTGCCCCTAAGTACATTGCGGTCACTGATGCAGAGTGGTGCATCCAGCAGGAGGTTTGGAGCCTGATCCTGCACGTTACCAAGCCGGAGCATCGTTTTCCCTTGTGAGCTCCCTAACCACGCATGAAAACTGTGTGTGTGTGTGTGTGTGTGTCTGCACGTGTTTGTATGCATCCACCCCACATCAGCGATTGCGCGGAAAGGGGGATGCAACCGCTTGCTCCTGCGTCTGGAGCTGCCTCAAGAGGGATTAGGGAGACCAAAAAAGGGACCCCAGTAGAGCCAGGGCGGTAGGATCCCCATCCCTATCCTGCTCCACAGTGGTGTTAGCTCACACTGACCTCCAGTGGTGTCCGCTGATGTGGCAGCACATCCTCACATCACACTGCAAGTCATCTGCCCCACATTAAACATCCACAGCGAGGCCACCCACTCTGGTCTGTGGGACCGCAGAGAGATGCATGGGTGTCTGCAGGAGGGCACCCGGCTGCTTTCAGGATCTGGGTGAGCTGGCGGTGTCCTTACCGCACCAGTCCTCCTTGGGGATGCAGAGGGACTGTCTGCGCCACTCTTGCATTGCTGAGATGCAGGAGTTGGATGTTGAAGCCCAACAAAAATAGCCTTGATGGAGGTGCATGTTGTAAGCCCTGGGGAATGAACCCAGGGAGCTGTTTGGTTGAGGAAATGGTGTTTTCCCCATAATTTCCTATATTCTATCTATAAAAATTACTTAAGCAGAGAGCCTGGGCTTGCTGTAGGGCTTGCCAGAGTTAACTACAGTGGCTTTTTTTAGCATTGGTCCATTTTCTTTAGTTGTCCATTGTTCTTTCCCATCCTGTGTCTTGCCTGGCTTGCATTTTTACTTGACAAACACCATCTTCAGAGAGGGAGGACATATTTAGAAAGGAATGATGCTGACAGCTAAGACGTTCCCATTTTTTGCTCTGTACTGTTTAAACATCTACTTTTTTTAAACTTTTATGTTGGATCTCCTTGTTTTCAAGTCACTTGATCTGGAGCTGTTTGACCTTATGGCCTCTCCAGTCAATTTCCTCAATTTATTTAGAATATCTGAAACTCTGGGCCAGCCAAAACTCTGGCCTTGCCAATTCCTGGTCGTCATCATCTTCATTAAAAAATGCACTCCACCATGGGGAAATGTTTTATAAATAATTATGAGCTAAAAAACTAATTTAGAAAATCCTTTTCTCCATTTCCTGACTCCTACATGGCCAGAAATGATAAAGGAGACTAATGGAAGGAAATACTTGCCTGCATCCACCGTAATTGGATTGTGGCAGACATTGGCACAGGAGACTATGAAGACTGAGAATTTAGCAGAGTGCAGATATTTGTGGATAACGAGTTGCTGTCAGCCGAGGAGCTTTGAATCTCACATGTCAGGGCTTTAATTGATCCCTCGAGATTAGGTTGCTCCTTGCCCAGGTGAATGTCTTGAAGGTCATGAGGCTGGAGAGCTGTGTTCCTGGCGGACACAGCCCTGCAGATGCGAGAGGTCCAGGAGAGCTGATGGATTTTCAAGGATGCTGATGAACAGGGACTCGAGCAAAGGCAGCAGGAGGCCCACATGGACGTGCTGGGGGCTCCTGACTGAGCTGACACATGAAAAGGAGGTGGAAGCTAGAGCAGGTGATGTAGGAGGACTATAGAGACGTGGTTCAAGCACGTAGGCATGGGGTTAGGAAAGTCAAAGCCCATCTGAAACTGAATGTGGTGGGAACAAGAAGGACTTCTACAAGTATACCAGCAGCAAAGGGAAGGCAAGAGAAAATATGGGGCCCACTGCTAAATAGGGCAGAGTCCCTGCTGACACTGGGCATGGAAAATGCCGAGTTTCTTGATGCCTTCTTCACCTCAGTCTTTACTGGTCAGACTGGCCTTCAGGACTTCCAGGGCCCTGAGACCAGTGAGAAGGTTTGGAACAAGGAAGACTTACACCTGGTGGAGGAGGACCAGGTCAAGGAGCACTTAAACAAACTGGATGTACACAAGTCCACGTGACCTGACGGGATGCACCCACGAGAGCTGATGGAGCTGACGATGAGACTGTGAGGCAACTCTCCATCAGCTCATGGTGGTCTTCCTGAGGCTTGGAAGAAAGCTAGTGTCAATCCTGCCTTCCAGAAGGGCAAGAGCAAAGATCTGGGGAGCTATAGGCTGGTTAGCCTCACCTTGATCCCTGGGAAGGTGATGGAGCCAATAATCCCTGAAACCATTTCCAAACACAGCAAGGACAAGAAGATGACTGGAAGCAGTCAGCATGGATTACAAAGGGGAGGCCATGCCTGATAACCTGAGGGCCTTCTGCATTGAAATGACTAGCTCGGTGGATGAGGGGAGAGCAGTTGATATTGTTAAACTTGATTTAGCAAGCGTTTCAACACTCTCTCCTGTAACATCCTCATAGGCAAGCTGATGAGATAACAGACTAGATAAGTAGATGGTGAAGCGGACTGAAAACTGGCTCAACTACCAGGCTCAAAAGGTTGTGATCGATGTCATGAAGAGAGACCACTAGAGACCACTAATGGGGAGCCCCAGCCATCAGTACTGGGGCCAATACTGGTTTACACTTTCATTAATGATCTGGATGATGGAGCAGAGCATACCCTCAGCAAGTTTGCCGCTCACACAAAACTGGGATGAGCTGCTGATGCACCAGAGGGTTGTGCTGACATCCAGAGGGACATGGACAGGCTGGAGAAATGGGCCAACAGAAATCTTAGGAGGTTCAACAAGGGGAAGTGCAAAGTCCTGCATCTGAGAAGGAATAACCCCATGTACAGGCACAGCTGGGGGTCAAAAGGCTGGAAATCAACTTGGCAGAAAAGGCCCCGGGGGTCCTGGTAGACACCAAGCTGACCATGAGCCAGCAGTGTGCCTGCATGGTACAGAAGGCGAGTGTGATCCTGGGCTGCATTAGGCGTGTTGCCAGCAAGTTGAGGGAGGTGATCTATCCCCTCTGCTCAGCACTGGTTAGACCACATCTGGAGTGTTGTGCCTAGTTCTGGGCTCCTCAGTACATGAGAGACATGGAGAGGCCATGGAGATGAGGAAGGGGCTGAAGCCCTGAGAAGAGACTGAATGAGTGGAGACTGTTCATCCTGGGGGAGAGAAGTCTCAGGAGGATCTCATCAGTGTCTATAAACTCCTGCAGGGAGGGTGTGAAGAGGACGGAGCCAGGCTCGTCCCCGAGGTGCCTACAGCCAGGACCGGAGGCAATGGGCACACACTGAAACACAGGAAATTCCATTTAAAACTAAGAGAAAACTTTCCTGCTCTGAGGGTGATTGAATATGTTGTTTCTTTTGGAAAACCAGGGCTGTGGGACTGTTTTCTCTTTTCACTAATGACCTCAGTGATGCGCCATAGCGTGCGCTTATTAAGTACACAGACGCCGTAACGCTGGGCATTTCTTCGAGGTGCTAAAGGCAGATTTTAGAAAGACTTGGATAAAATGTGAGGCCAAGGCTGTTATACAGCAGATGCAAGTTTCTGCGCGTGGGCAGGAATAAGCAGTAGCGTAAGCATGGGATGGGAAACAACTGGGGTACCAGTTCTGGTTGAAATCCACAACAGCTGGTGCAACAAAAGCAGGGCAGAACACTCTGCCAAGGTTGTAAACAAGAGCTCCGAGATTTATGTGAGATCCTGTCTGGCCCTCCTCGCTGTTGCTGAGGCCGGAGCACTGGGTCTAGTTTTGGGTCCATGCTTCATGGAAAAAAAAATCTGCCAACTAAAGTGCATCCAAAATAAAAGGAAGGAGAGGGAGAATTGTGGTTTAGGCCAGAAAAGCAAAAATTGATGGATGGGGGGGCCTTCAAATATGTAAAAATTTGTTTCCAATGTGGAAGGAAGTCATGGTTGGAGCTGTAGTAAGGAAGATCCAGAGTGGACATGACATTTTCTTGGCAAACAGAGTGAATGTCTGAGAGGGGTTTAGCCTAAGGGCGATGTAGAATCAGCACCCGTGTGGATCCCTTAGAGCATCTGGACATGCGTCTGTCAGGCGTGACGTGTCACTGTGTTCTTTGGGGCACACAATCCCTTTGGTCCCTTCTGGTCCATATCCCAGTGGTGAGGGTCCTAGCCTCAGGAATAGGGCGCAGGCTCAACCTTGCGTGCAGAAGCAGGTTGGCAGCACAGGTTGGCTGTCGAATCCAAAATCATTTAATAATGCAGTCATTTAATCATTTAATCTCTTGAGCTGCTGGGAGATCCTCCCTGCGTGGATGCTGAAGGTACTCTGGGCATCTCCCCACAGTGTGGAGCATTTGCTCCTTTGCTTCAGGATGGTCCCAGGTCTGTGCCAGAGAGAAACGGCATGTCTATTTTCGATGTTCAATGCTTCGGACTGGGTTCATCCCACTCAGGGAAGGTGTGTGGTTCACCCCATCCAACCCTCCTGATGCTGCTTGCCTTTTCATGAGCTGTGGTTTAGCTTGTGATGGAATAATGTTATATTTGTGCTAGTCACATCTGTGGTACACCGGGTATTTCCTAAGCTGAAAAAAAGGGCGGCTCAGCCTCAAGGAGCTCAAAATTACCAAGCAGCAAACAGACATTTGGGAGGGATCCAGTGTCAGATGCACAGATCTGAGCATCCCTGCCCTGCGTAAACCCAACTGTCGTGGTTTGGGCCGGACTGGCCACTGAAACGAACGACAGATGCTCTCTTTTACTTCTCTCTCTTCCAGAGAAGGGAGAGTGTCTCCCTTCGGGGAGAGAAGGATGAGAGACAAAAAAGACTTACGAGCTTAAAAAAAGGAACTAAACTACTTTAATGAAAATATTAATAAAATAATGAAAAGGAAATAATGAAATATATACAGTATGTACAAAACCATATGGAGCTCCTGGGATGACAGTCACATCACCGACTGGCACTGGGAAAGTCCCAGACTGGACTCAGCAATGGAAGGGAACTGGATTCCAGCTCTGGATTCAGGGACACACAGGTCGGGATCAAAGGCAGACGAACAGATAGAGTCCTTGTCGGACGCGGCCATTGAAGAAAGAGAGTTGACCTTTTGATCCCTCAGCTTTTACACAGAGCATGATGCAGATGGGATGGAATACCCTGTTGGTCAGTTTGGGGTCACTGTCCTGTCCACTCCTCCCCACAGGTGGGACCTCTTTATGCTTTTCCGCTTCTCACCCTCCAACGGGACACATAAAGAAGTGAGCTGGTCCTGGGTGTTATAGCACTAAGTATAAGCAGGAGCCTCTCTGCATACCATTCCTTGGCATAAATTATAAACTATCAGGTCTTATCACTCTGGAAGCGGATACCATCGGAAAAATATGCCATTAATTTCAGAGAGTTCAGTCAGTTACAAGAAGCTTAGCTGAAAAGTAAAGTTACCAAAAAGAAAATTGGTTCTGTTCTACCTCAAACCAAGACACCAACTGTGATGTTAATCGCTGGAGGTTCACAGCGTCTGCAGAGGCTGCTAACGTGATTGCAAAAGCAGGCACTTGGAGGTCATCTGTGCCTGCAAGGAGGCAACAGGGAATGTGGCCCCAACCCCAGCTCCAACAGGCTGATGGATCCCCAGAGGAGCCACTTGTGGAGAGGTCACAGGAGTGGGGATGCACTGGGGGAGGGCAGGATTGCAGAAGTCAAAAGACACGTGCGGGAACAGCAATGAGGCAGCTGCGGAGAAGGCTGGAGGAGAGCGCTATGGCATCATCAGATATGGGGAAGAGAGGGGACTAGCGGCAGGGTGATTTTGAGAAGGACTTCTGGCCATGGACTGTTTTCCTTCTAGTGAGTAGGATGTCATGGGTATTGCAACTCAAGCAGGGTTCAAAAATAACTTTGTCACCTTCATAAGAGTCCATAAAGGCTGTTAAAAGCACAGACGCCACTTTTGACTCGGAAAGTCGCTGATTTTCCCACCGCAGGAGGCTGGCAGGGTAGGCTCACCCTGGGCAGGGCTGGTGGCATGTACCTCCTGTCCTTCCTTAAGCGTGTGCTGGAGGATGGAGCTGGCTGGATGCGGCAGGGCCACTCAGCTCCTTTTTGCAGTTCTGCTGAAGCCCCTGTGCATCCAGGCTGACCTGCTCTATGTCTCTTTGGTCTCCAGGTTCAGTTTAACCTGGCTGCTGGGATGCAGGGAAGGAAAGAGCGGGAGAGGGCAGTGTTCATTTGCAGAAGGTGCTCTGTGCTGCAGCCCGTCTCCTGTTCCGGCACATTTTAGGATGGTGGAAGGAGCCAGGACGAGGCTCCCTGAGCAGGAGAGCTGCTCCGTCCCCATGAGCCGTGTCCTCCCTTTCTGCCAGCTCCATTCGCTGCCCTGGTCTTCCCTAAACTCCTTTCAGTTTATCTTTCCAGTAATGAGTTGCCAAGTGCAGAGATGGGGTTTGGCTTTGCTTTGAGCAGAGATAAATGCTATTTCTTCAGCCTGCCTCCGGTGGACCTACCGGATCAGCAATGGGGTTTGCTCCTGTGCTGCCAGCCCTGCAAGCAGGGATGACCCTGATCCCTGCAAATTCCAGCCAGCATTTGGGATCCAACGTTTTAGCTTCTACCCCCAATATTCTCCTGGCCAGAAAGAAATTGCTGTGGCTGCTTGCAGGCAGCAGTTGGGGGAAGGTCTGTAAAGGCTAGCAAGAGCCCCCAGGGCTTCTCTAACCTCTGTCTCCCTGCAGCGTCCTAACAGCCTCCTTCATCAGCATGCCCAGTGCAAGTTCTGCCAATGACCCAACATAAGAATGAGTTCCCATCGTAAGAATGAGTCCCCAACAGAAGAAGGACATGGGCCTGTTGGAGCGTGTCCAGAGGAGAGCCACAAGGATGATCCGAGGGCTGGAGCACCTCTCCTATGAGGAGAGGCTGAGAGAGTTGGGGCTGTTCAGCATGGAGAAGAGAAGGCTCCGGGGAGATCTTATTGCGGCCTTCCAGTATCTAAAGGGGGCCTACAGGAGAGCTGGGGAGGGACTTTTTACTAGGGCATGTAGTGATAGCACAAGGGGGAATGGCTTTAAACTGGAAGAGGGCAGGTTTAGATTAAACATTAGGAAGAAGTTTTTCACTTTGAGGGTTATAAGGCACTGGAACAGGTTGCCTAGAGAGGTTGTTGAGGCCCCATCCCTGGAGGTGTTCAAGGCCAGGCTGGACGTGGCCTTGGGCAACCTGGTCCGGTGGGAGGTGTCCCTGTCTATGGCAGGGGGGGTGGAACTCCAGGGGGGGTGGGACTCAATGATTTTCAAGGGCCTTTCCAACCTAAACCATTCTATGATTCTATGACGAGGAAGTCTTGCAAGGGTTAGACCCTCCTCCCGTGCCACCGGCTTTACATGTGTCTGCAGCAAGCCCGCCCGGGCTGCTCAGCTCCCATGGCCAAAGCCAGGCTGGCACAACCTAGAGTTGGCCAAGCCAGGTTGGCAGGATCAGGCTGTGGTCGCTGCTGGAGCCAGCTGGCAGAGGGAGGCGCCTTCTCCTGGAAGAGGCTGGTGGACTGTGGGCTGTCACCCATCCTAGAGGACTCAAATCCAAAGTGACATGCTATTTCATAAGGCCCTTATTCCCTTGTCTCTTCTTGTGTTATTAGCGGCTCCATGATACAATCATTACTGAAGAGGATCTCTAGAGGTGGGCTGTTTTGGATAAGTTTGAGGAATTCAGCAAGAATTGACAGTTCTGTAGATGGCAGGGGGCTAACTCGGCACCTGGCACAACTCAGAGCTTCCTCCAGCTATGCCCTTGGAAAACTTGCTCCCTCCTCAACGCACCTCTTACGCTACAGGTGGTTGTGATACCGCCTGTTGCTGCTATCTGCTCTGCTGGAAATCCCATTATACCACGCTTTTCCTGGTAGATGCCCTCAGGGGATATTTAGCTAGGTCTTCCATGGATATGTACAAGGTGGGTGTGTAAGATCTCTGTATTTCTGTTGATTGCACCCTATAGTAGGACATTTCCACCAGCCAAAGTGTCAAGGGCACAGGCCAGCCCCGGGCACTGCTGGGTGCAGAGAAGCAGCATGTCTAATGGGCAGTTGCACATCCATGCCTGGGCTGATGCTGAAATTCTTTTGCATTTCCTCTTGTTTTCCTGACCCAGGAGACGGTCGAAGCAGCCACCCTGCAAGAGAGCTGCCCGGACCACGTGGAGTCTCTGCTCGCCTCTGTGTACAAGCGGGAGGAGCTGGACTGCGTCTTCCAGCTCTGTGGACTACAGAAAATTCAGGTAGGGAGCTGCCCAGGTGCAAATCTCGGCGGTTCTCCTGCAGCCTTGCATAACTGGTACTCCCCATCCCCACTGGCTGGAGCTGGATGTGCCCCTCTGACTGCGTCTCTCATGATTCCGTGCGGACGATGCCCAGCATACCTGTGTCAGTGTGACATCCAGATCCGGGTTAGAAGAGCTGGCTGATGTCGAAGGCACAAAAGCAAGTGTCTTTCTCTTGGTTTGCTCTGTCCTTCCACGCTGCCAGGCCAGGGAGGTTGTTTTTTGCCTGTATCAGCCTTGTGGAGATCGGACTAACCCAAATAATTCAGATGAAGGATGTCTCACTGGGCTGTGTGCTTGCCTGAGAGACGGGCTCACGGGCTGGCCAGGATCTCGAGCAGCAGGAGGGTTTATTCCCTGCCATCAGAGTGATGCTACCAAGCCTGATTCACGCTTGGCATGCTTCAAAAGATTCTCAAACTATTTAAAGACCATGAGAGAGGCAAAATTGCTCGTCCCCTGGCTTGTCTCTTCCAGCAGATTATCTGTCCCCAAATGGCAATGTGCACCTTGTTCCTCATTTGATTTTTTTTTCTTCCTCTCTAACACCCAGCCAGTGGGTCTTGCCAGCTGCTTATCTGCTCTGCTCCACGCAGACTCACACCGAACGTTGCTCTCAAGCTGCTGCCTGGATCTGCCTACAGCGAGCTCCATTTGCTGAGTGCGTGATGTGCCTCGGCACATGGCAGGTCTTTCAGTCCTTGCTTTTTCCTGGAGCTCTTTTCTGAACCCTTCCCAAGCGCTCAGCGTTGCTTTTAAGTGCAGATGTGAGACCTGAACCCTACATTGCCTGCCAAAACCTTCTTCTTGCTCTGTTATACATCTCCCTACCTTGTACAGCCAGCCAGTCTCAGGCACAGCCCCATGCTAGGGGTTCACGTTCAGGCATTTGGCTGCCGCAAATATGGTTATTTTCTGATTTCTTCCCCATCTTTTATAAAAATCTAAAGTAGCCCTAGACTGCAAATGGATCCCTGTGGAGCACTGCTGTTTAAAAGTGTCGGCTTTTACCAGGCGATGTGTGTTTTATTTAAGTGGTTCATATCCCTCCCCGCGCATGCTTTCCTCTCGCGTGTGCAGCAGTCCCGTGCCGTGGCCGGGATGGATGTCGTGGTGTTCTTCGCGTGGGTGCAGCTTGCCTGGGTGCAGTCCCTCTCCCCTCCTGCTCCCCTGCACCAGTATCCTGGGGGTGATGCTCTTGGTGGCAGTGCCCTGACCGCGCTGATGAGGTCTCAAGTGAGGTGCCCTGATTTCAGGAGAAGTCCTGAAATCCAGAAATTATGGCTCAGGCCCACAAACGCCATGAGCGTATGTAACAGCTCGTTTTCTCTGGCAGTAGCATTGCTCCATCACGCCACAGCATGGGGCTGTGAGCCCGCAGAACAGACAGCCAAGTCTGTCATTTTTTGCTGACAGCGGCAACAGTGAAAAAAGCTCTGCTTCGAGTCTTAGTCTCTGATTCACTCGGTGTCCTTTGCTCTCTCCCCTTCCAGACGGATGTGGTCCTGCAGTTGGATTTGCATTACACCCAGCTGAGCACAAAGCAGAGGACTTGTGAAAGCCTGCAGACAACCCTTCAGAAATCTCTGCTAGGGCAGTTTTTCAGCCAGAGCAATTGCTCCCAGCCAAACCATCCGAGAACTCCTGCCCGCGCAGGCAGCGTGTGCCTCCAGGATGCATCGGTGCTGAGCACGGTCCCGAAGGGGCAAACATCTCTGAGGACAGGCTCTGGCCACAACTTGCCCAGCAGCAACCCCTGCAGCTCCAGCATCGAGCCAGAGGAGAACGACGAGAGCGACCTGAGCGAACTTTGCTCGGCAGTGCTCCGGGCTGGCCCGGGGCAGGACGACCCCTGACTCCTGCGGGCTGGCGTGCACAGCCTTGGGAACGGCTTTTTTATAGAGGCAACAGCCATCTGAGTGCTAAAAACACCAGAATCCATCAGCTGCTTTCCAGCCTTGGCGATCACCCTGTCCACACGAGGCCAAGGCTGCTTTTTCGGAAAGGCTTCTCCCATCTGCGCCCTGCGGCGTGCGGGGCCTGAAGCCCGCTGGAAATAACCCCTGTGCCGCAGGAGCGGTGGGGATCAACAAGGAGTCGTCGTCGGGTGGCCCTGTCCTCCGCCAGACTCAAGAAGTCGTAACATTTCCAGGCAAAGCCCAACATCGCTTCAAGTCACGGCCACAGGCTGATGTTTTCTGCAAATTAGGCTTTGCCTGAAAGCAAACCCTGCAGCATTAAAGGTGTTAAGAAACACTACAGACCTGTGCTATGGCAGCGGCCGTGCGGCCTCAAAACCCAACGGCAACTACTGACTCTCATCGCGGTTGTGCAAGGGGCACAAGGCTTGAACAAGGGACCCAGATAATACTGTGTGAATGTATAAGCTCTCCCCTGGGCTCATGGTGCGGTTTTCTTCCCTTGTGAGTCCTGCCTGTGTCCAAGCACGTTTTAAGTTATGCATTTCTGTATTTCTAACGAATGTATTTATACCTGGGGCAAGACAATTGCTTGCCAGGAAAAGGAAGGTCAGATGTTCCGTCGAGTGTGTGTTTACAACGACAGCTGGTTGTCCATCAGTAGTCGCCACTGGACAGGTACGCTCCCGCGTGCCCCTTCTAGCGTGGCACACAGGGGCATTAAAGTGTGTTAAGTCCTGCGCAGTCCTGGGTTTCCTCTCAGATGCAGAATTTCCTACGTGTGGGAGATGGAAAATACCAAGATGGAGGAGTAAAGACTGCAAAAAAAAGTCATTCTTAGTGCAAATTTTATTTCTAAGTGCCTGTCTCTCTGCATTTGCTGTGGGCAACCGCAAGCACTACCTTTTGTGAAGAACCAGCTGTCCAGAGAGACCCACAGATGAGCAGGACCGAAAGGGTGACCCGAGTGGGCGCAGTCCCCTCCCCGCCTGCTTCTCTAATATTTGTTTGATGAAAGTTTCAGTGTAGCTCCACGCGATTGCTCAGCAAGGGCCTGAGAGGGTGGTCAAATTGTTCAACAGGGGCCAGTGACCCCAATAAGGGGTGGGATCTCCATCCGTGGAGACCGTTCGCTCTGGACTGGAGAAGGTGGTGATGAACTGGTCCCAGCTGTCAGGGCGCTGGACCAGAAACAGCCGGTGGTCCCTTCTGGCTGTTGTGGTCCTGGGAAAGAACGAACTTGGAGATCAAAGACTTCTTGAGAGGTCAAGGAGAGTGCCCAAGCTCTCGTGGTCTTTTGTCTTGGTCCAAAAGAGGGATGGAAGAGAGCATTTCCTAAATTTTGGTTCTCCTTCAGCAGTGCAGATACTTGCATCTCCGTCTACAATGTCTATTGCAGCATGGAAGAATATTAAATGCTCCTTCCAGATAAACCATCCTACAAGTGCTGGAAACCTGTCCAAGGAGAACAGAGGAGGCTTTTATTCTCCTCACAGTGAGTAGAGCCAAGGGAAAGGAGAGAGGCCCCATCTGGCTGAAGTCTAGAAAGTCTCCTAGGAAAAAATGTAAAGCTAAAAAAAAAATATGTATATATAATTTACGGGGTGCAGCTTAGATAAGATGGACTGGTAAAGAAGCTAAACCAGAAAATAATAAACTGATTTGAGGGAGAACCAAAGATCAACTGAACACCAGCAGAAACGTAAGAGGGGTCGGTGGGAATGGTTGGGCAGGCGTTTGGGAGGAGCGGGGCGTCTCTTTGCCTCTGTGAGGATCATACACACCCTCCTGTGCTGTTGGGGCAAAATACATTTTTCTGGCTCACATAATCATGGCAGATGTCATCTCACGTGAACGTTAATCTCATTCTGAGTGAGGCTGTTTATTTTTTTCTGAATAAAACACTATTGGTGTTTTTTGAATGCATAAAGCTTCATGTGGCTCTGAGTTAACTGTCTTTATTTTTCCCTCTAATTGCCAGGGTGTGACAGTATTCACCTACTGGTTTGAACTCTTAACTTCTAGGCCCTTCGGGGTGAGGACTGTTTCTCTTTTGAGGTAACTGCAGATTGAATTTTGGATTTAGCAGGGTGGATCAAATGACACTAGATAGTGTGAAATAATGTCAGGTGAAATATGTAGGTGAAATGTCGGGATCCATTGTGAATTATCCATCAGTATTGTAACGTGTAGCCCTCAAGTGGTTGGGTCAGGCTTAGGAGGCCTCTGGTCCCGGTGCCAACCGCAGGACTTGTCGCTGTTACCAGCTCTCCTGCTCCTCACAGGCAACCCTGCAGCCAAGGCCAGGGCTACCACCACGTTTCCATGCGCAGTGTGTTCTGAGAGCGCAAGCCCTTGTGAAGCTGAATGGCAAAGGTGGAGTTTGATTGCAGCCACGGCAGCATGCTGCCGTGCCATCAACTGGGTTCATTGTAGGAGGGGGTGAAGCTGTGTCTGCCTTCATTCCCCGGCCTTACACGTGAAATACAAACTTCCCCCATGGTAGTGTCACTCTTCAGTGCCAGTAAATTTTCCTTTGAATCTGTGTTTCCATCTTGCAGCATGGAGGATGAACAACTCATGCAAGATTACTGTGCCTCTCTTGACCACGTCCTTCCCGTTCTGCAGCCATGATCCTTGGGTTCCGTAAGCTCCTCATGGCCAGCCCGAAGGGTAGGAAGGAAGGTGCACCCATCCTCGTGCAATGGACCAGTGTCCTACACCTGGGTTGGGGCAATCCCAAGCACAAATCCAGGCTGGGCAGAGAATGGCTGGAGATCAGCCCTGAGGAGAAGGACCTGGGGATGCTGATTGACGAGAAGCTCAACACGAGCTACAATGTGTGATCGCAGCCCAGAAAGCCAACTGCATCCTGGGCTGCATCAAAAGAAGTGTGGCCAGCAGGGCGAGGGAGGGGATTCTGCCCCTCTACTCTGCCCTGGTGAGACCCCACCTGGAGTACTGCGTCCAGCTCTGGAGTCCGCAACATACGAAAGACATGGAGCTGGAGGAGTGGGTCCAGAGGACGGTCACAAAGATGATCCGAGGGCTGAAGCACCTCACCTATGAATACAGGCTCAGAGAGTTGGGGTTGTTCAGCCTGGAGAAGAGAAGGCTACTGGGAGACCTTAGGGCCCCTTCCAGTGTCTGAAGGGCCTACAGGAGAATTGGAGAGGGACTTTTTACAAGGGCATGTAGTGATAGGACGAGGGGTAATGGCTTCAAACTGGAAGAGGGGGGATTTAGATTAGATATTAGGAAGAAAATTTTCCCTGTGAGGGAGGTGAGCCCCTGGCACAGGTTGTCCCGAGAAGCTGTGGCTACCCCATACCTGGAGGTGTTCAAGGCCAGGTTGGACGGGGCTTAGAGCAACCTGGGCTGGTGGGAGGTGTCCCTGCCTGTGGCAGGGGGGGTTGGAACTTGATGATCTTCAAGGTCGCTTCCAACCCAAACCATTCTGTGCTTCTCTGATTCATACTCTGCTCATGGCATGCCTGTGGCTGAGTAGTCCCAACAGCCTCTGCCCACTCGATGCTTAATTTCTCTCGTCGTTGCTGTTCCTTTCATCCATTATCTCCTGGACAACACTGCTTTTCCCTCACGTCTGTGTGACCTGACCTCACTTCTTGCTGCTGCATCTCTCTGGCTTGCCCTCTGCCCCGGCGCTGACCCTGCAGCAAGCAGCCATCTTTCTCACTGCTTCCCTTCCTTGCCTGACAATGCGTATCCCACCCATCTTGCTATGTCATTTCAGGTTATCCTTCCATCCCCATCGATTTTGAGCAGATTTCCGTGCCTTTTTGTGTGTTTTCTGAAGTAGTAGGTGAAATCTCCAAACTTCAAACCCGGGAAGTTGGATATTATCCCATTGCATTTCTTTGCAGGGTCATAGCCTGGACCGATCCTATGGCTGGGCAGTACGGGTGGGGTCCCTTGTGTCTACCTTTAGTGGGAGAACAGTCCATTACTTAGTTTGATTCTCCCAAAAGGACTACAAGACCCATTTAAGGCTGGGACTCCTTCATTAGATGCCTATCTGCGGGCAAAGTTTGACCAAGAAATCAGCTCCGATTTACGCTCCCTCTCTGCCCCCACACCTTCACTTATATATTCGTAGTCGCAGCCATTGCCTTCTGCTTCCCACTGTTTTTGGGCCAGTCTGTGCCCAGAGGCTACAAGGAACCGCTCAGCATTTAGAATAATTTCTGTAGGTAGTACAGCTGCTTTCCCTTCGCCCAAGTCTGCTATGTTTGCTTTGAGAGGCACCAAGCAAACTGAAGGTTTTAAAACATTCATTAATCTGATGAAAATAGCAACACCTCAATGTTCAATAATTTTATTTTTAGACAAGATGTCCCCTTTTTTCCTCTCTGCTAATGCAGGTGTGTTGAAGGGAAGGACCTTGGTGAACACCCTGATGTGCTATTCTTCTGCTACAGTGTTGTGTTAAAGGGCAAAGTAATTTGGCAGAAAATAAGCCCCATTGCGTTCCAGCTTGTCCTCGGATACCAGAGGGGCTGGGGGCGGCTGCGCTTACATTCTGAGTGATGCCCAATTACAGCGTTCTAAGTCCAGTCGCATTCAATATATTGAACTATTACGATTATGGATGCACAAGTAACACCATACACCTTCAGTCTAGTCGTGTTCCATGAGCTAGCACAGCCACACTTAAGGAGTTTGGTCACGTTCACTATGAACTCTCATGGCTACGTTAATGAAAAGTGCAGTTTATTGAAGCAACAGATGCACAAATTCTTTTGGATTGCTGGTGATAATTTCACTGTCTGCACAGCACGTGCAAATACCAAGAGTATGAATAATACAGCCTGGCTACAAACGCGTTCAGTCATAAAACGACTCTATAGAGATTTCTAAGTTTCCCAGGAAAGCGCTCAGTATAGCCAAGTGTTCGAATCTTACCCAAAGGCCCCATG